ATTTTAGAGTGGTTTACTTTGTATCAATACAAGAGATTTAAAAATATCGGTTTAATCCCAATCCCCCCCACACACTAACAGCTCGGATTAAGTAATGGAGAACTCCATTTATTTAGGGAAATACATTTAAAAACTTAATATTGTTTCAAAGATACTAATATGAAACCTGATTGTCTGGCTTGTTATCATAGTATCTTTAGTAACATGAAGGCTTCTTGAGATACATTGCAGCATTGAATGCAACATCAACAAAGATAATACTATCAATTTATTTATATTAATTTATGTACCTAGATTACAAACTAGCTAACTAGATTGTAAAATAGTAAAATAGTAAAATAAAAATGTTTGTAGAGCAGTCTATTAGAATTGAAGACTTGAGATCCAGTCTAATACATAAAAGGATTTTTTTTTCTCCAAAAGTCTTTTTTCTCTTTTCTTTCCTGAAGCTGTGCTTAGATTAACAAGAGAATACTTCTGGAAGCTTAAAGACTTACTAGCCCTTTGTTCAACATCAGAAATATTACAACAGGAAGGTGTTGTCCATTTTATAGTGGGAGTTTCGAAAACATCCTGCTTTCTTACTTTTTTCCTTGATTTTAAATGATGTTGTAATGTATGTAGTTTCAAATGATCCATTCCATTATAACAAAAACTATATATAAAGTCAGATTTTTCTTGAGTAGTTGCATGCTGCAGTTCTTTGCAACACTAGAAATGTTCTATTTTTAGTCAAATTTAAATGACATAAAACCAAATTCAGTAGTCCCACAGTACCTTTCTTGCAGTATATTGACTGACTGAGCAATAACTAAATGTTGCAAATAAAAGGTCTGAAAAAAGACTGGTATGTAAAAATTTGAATATAACTGCACTGAGAAGGGAGTGCAGCTAATACAAAAAAAACACAGGAGCATTTTAAGAGAAAAATAACTCTAAAACATAATAAAATGCTTTAGAAATTTTTTTCTGTAATTTGCATTTTTCAAAAATAGACTGCTCTGAAACCCTGAGCTATGTTATTGATATGTAGGGCAGAATATTAAGTGTGATGGCCACATAATCATATCCTTGGAGTGTCGTAAATTCTTATGATAAGCTTGCCTGCTGGAAATATTTTGCACAAAGGGAGAGAGACACCTCCAGAAGGAACTATAAAGATGATGAATCTGGCAGACAAACTACCGAGTGGTAGGTTTCAACAGCTTTGTGTGACTCTAAAATTGCCTTGTTGATTTAGAACAGTAACTATCTCCTTAGCCCATTTCCTTTACCAAGAAAGGATAACAGTTAATACACAACAAACAGAATCAATATTAAGGTAAGGTTTAATATACAGAAAGTCATACAAATTATCACTGCTTGAACTGCCATATAAGGCCATCACCACCAACCACAACTGGATTACATGTTTATTTCCTTCCTCCACCAAATGGTAAATGAATTTAGGGCAGTGTGTTAAGATATTCAGAATCTGAAATAGTAAACCTTTTAAAACAAAATGTGACATGCAACAGAAGCAACAAATATGATTATACTATTCTGTGGAGAAAACATACATTTTCTCCATTTTCATAGTTAGCTACCAAGTGTTTTTTATACCACATTATGCCCTCCTGACACTTGGGGTACTCTTCATGTATGCACAAGCAGATCTCCTGAAATGAATTACCAAAACAAATACAAAGCAGGGAAACCCAAATTTTCTTCTTCCTTTGCCTGAGATTTGTTTCACATATATTGGTGACTGTCACGGCAGATTTTGGTGCCTTGAGTAAGTGTCTCATCAGCTACAACACTCATTACTTTGTAATGTAATCATTGTATTTAGAAGATGAATTGCTATACTGTAAATCATGGTCACCAGTTCTCAAAGATGAGCATTGGACAAGTCAGTTGCATTGACTCAGTGTATGAGACATTCTTCTGTTTTGCTGTTTTCTGTTGTATCCTTGCACAGCTATGAAACAGACTGCTTCTTTATCCTGCTAGATAGTAATCCACTCACACTTGCATTTTTTTATAATTAATAGAATTGTAATAAATACATAGACCTACCTTTGTAATTCCTCACTATCATCCTCTATTAGTTTCCATGCAACATTTTTTCATAAAATGAAAAGGCAAAACAGGTGTTAGATTATTTATGTTTGACAAATTCATATAATTTAAATAATTAAAACTAATTTGTGTTGAGAGCTACAGTTGCATTTTTATTAGAGAAACAAGTACAAATAGGCATCACTACAGAGCTGTTTATTCAATAAGAGATTAAATGAAATGGATTTCATAGTCTCAATTCTTTGATTAATGTGGCAATTTGAACTCTTCTGTGCCCTAACAATGTGGAAACAGGCGCTCACCCACTATAATTGTGTAAAACTTTTTCTTTAAAGCTACACATTTTAAATTATCCCTAAAAAAAATATTGTAAGCAAAATACTGAGTGATTTCAGTTTAAACAATATTTGTACTGTAAACTTGAAATTATAGTACTTTT